TCCCTATTAATGCAATGCTCCAGCCATTTTTTAATTATCTTATAAAAGATTTCATATATTTGTCACATTAAAGCTATAGTACTGTAATTTCCACATTCTGTTGTATCATCTTTATAATGAAAAGGTTCATCCTTGAAAGGGTTAAACCTGGCTGTTCCCTGGAGACAAGGATTCTGAAGCTTCGTCTGACATACTTTGGGCATGTTGTTAAAACAGATCAGTCTTTTGAGAGAGGCATCATTCTTGGAAAGGTGGAAGGCCAGTGCAGGAGAGGAAGACTCTCAATGAGATGGATTAATTCAGTGACGGAGGTAATGGGGGTAGATGTGTCAGAGACCATACGACTGACACAGGATAGAGGAGGGTTTAGGGCTGTTGTACCTAGGGTTGTGAGGAGTCACAGGTGACTCGACGGCACATAACAACAACAACTATATATATCTCTGGGAGGTTGGGCTCTATGAGGAGAAGTATGGCATCAGGATTGGTGGAAATCTATCAACAATCTGCGTTGTGCAGATGACACAACCCTACTTGCTGAAACTGAGGAGGACCTGAAGTGCTTGCTACAGAAGGTCAAAGACTGCAGCCTTCAATATGTTTTGAGGCTCAATATCAAGAAGACAAAGGTTCTCACTACTGGACTAATTGGCAGCTTCAGGATGGATGGTGAAGAAATTGAGCTTATTCACAGCTTTAGTTTGTTTGGCTCCACAGTCAACACTCTTGGCACCAGCAGCCAGGAAATTATAAGACACATTGTGATGGGAAAGTCTGCTGTTAAGTACCTCTCCAGAGTACTGAAGAGCAATGGTGTCACTATGGAGACTAAGATGCGCTTGATACAAGCCATGGTCTTTGCAATCACTTGCTATGCAACAGAGAGCTGGACAATGACTAGGGAGGATAGAAGGAAAATGGATGCCTTTGAGCTGTGGTGCTGGAGAAGAGTATACAATATACCATGGACTGCTAAGAAAATGAACAGGTTCATCCTAGAGAGGATTAAACAAGACTGCTCCTTGGAGGAAAGGATTCTGAAGCTTTGTTTGACATACTCTGGATATATTGCAAGGAGGGACCAGTCCTTGGAGAAGAACATCATGCTTAGGAAGGTGGAGGGACAGCACAGAAGAGGAAGACCCTCTATGAGGTAGATTGATTCAGTGACTGGATTAATGGGGTAGGTGTATCAGAGACATTGAGACTGACACAGGACAGAGCAGGGTTTAGGGCAGTTGTACATAAACTTGCTATGAGTTTCAAGTGACTCGATAGCACATAACAACAACAACAAGAGAATTAACAGGTCTGTCCTAGTATGTGAAACCAGGAGGCTCTTTGGAGGCAAGGATAGTGAAAAGGCATCTTACATACTTTGGGCATTTTATCAGGATAGTCCAATCTTTGGAGATGGACACCATGCTTGGAAAGATGGGGAGTCAACAGAAAGGAAGGTCATTAACAAGACGAATTAATTCAGTGACTGTAGCAATGGGATCAAGTGTGTTGGAGATGTTTAAGTTTACTAAAGATAGGTAGGACAAGGTTCATGGTAGTCTTTCATAAGATTGTTGTGAATCATAGTCACCTTGCCAGAACATAAAAACAACAGCATATAGTTTGATCATTTTCAGGAAAATAATCCATTTATAAATGAATAGCTATATCTATGCTATGGCAAAAAAAATTGGAAGAAATACTCAAAACTCTAAGAACATTATTTCTAAATTACATGATGTGAGATAACTTCTAGTGTACATTTTGACCCATTTCCACTTTTATACTTTGGCAATTGAAACTGAGATCTTAGACATGGAAACACGGAGAAAGAGAAACAGCTAGTGATTCGAATGTGGAATGCGAGAAGCAAGAATGTAGGAAATTGGATATTGTTAACAAAGAAATGGAGCACATTAATATTGACATACTAGGTATTGGCAAAATGAGATGACTTGGCATGGGACACTTTGAATCAGATGATCATATGATTTACTATGCCAGGGATGAAAAGGTGAGAAAAAATGGGGTGGTTTCATAATTTAAAAAGTCATTTCTAGATCTATCCTGAATAAAATGCGGTGAGTGACAGGATAATATCCATACGAATACAAGGAAGTCCAGTGAATACCACTATCATTCAAATATATGCAACAACAACTAGAGTCAGAGAGGAGGAAATAGAAGATTTCTACCAATTTTTGCAGTCAGAAATTGATTAAACATGCAATCAAGATGCATTAATAATAATGGGTGACTGGAATGCAAAAGTTGGGAACAGGGAAGAAGGATCAGTAGCTGGAAAACATGGGCTCGGTGAGAGAAAAGAGGCTGGAGATAGAATGATAGAATTTTGCACATTCAATAATTTATTCATTGCAAATACCTTTTATAAGAAACATAAATGCAGGCTATACACATGGATCTCACCTGATGGTATGCATAGGAATCAAATCGATTACATTTGTGGAAAGACTCACTGGAGAAGCTCAATATCAGCAGTGAAAACCAGGTCAGGTGCTGCTGATTGTGGAACAGACCACCAACTACTCATGTGCAAATTCAAGCTGAAGTTGAGGAAAATTAAGTCATGTGCACGGGAGCCAAGATTTGACCTTAAGTCTGTCCCACTCGAATTGCAAAACCATGTCAGGAACAGGTTTGAGGCCTTGAGCACAAATGAGCGTAAACCAAATGAGCTCTGGGAGGATATCAAGAAAATCGTTCATGAAGAATGCAAAAGATCATTACAAAGGCTGAAGAAGAAGAAGAAAAGACAAAGATGGATGTCAGATGAGACTCTGAGTATTGCATTAGAGTGCCAAGAAGCCAAAGCTAAAAGAAGAAACCAAGAAATCAAAGAGCTGACCGGAAAATTTAAAAAGGCAGCTCAGGACGACAAAGCAAGATACTATAATGAAATGTGCAGAGAGCTGGAGTCAGAAAATCAAAAGGGCTGCACTCGCTCTGCTTTTCTAAGTTGAAGGAGGTGAAAAACAAATTCAAACCATGAGTGGCGATACTTAAAGATAGTTTGGGTAAAATGTTGAATGATCCAGGAAGTATCAAAAGAAGATGGAAGGAATACACAGAGTCACTGTATCAGAAGGAATTGGCTGACACAGAGGAATTTCAAGAAATAATGTATGAACAAAAGCCTGTGGTGATGAAGGAGGAAGTTCAAGTGCTATGAAGGAACAAAACAAAGCTCCAGGAGTTGACAGCATACAAACTGATTTACTCTGCCCTGGATGTGCTCACTAAATTGTGCCAGGAAATCTGGAGGACAGCCAGCTGGCCAACTGACTGGCAGAGATCAATATTTGTTCCCATTCCAAAGAAAGGTGACCCAACAGAGTGTGGAAATTATCAAACAATATCACTGATATCACATGCAAGCAAGATTCTGCTGAAAATTATACCAAAACGTTTGGAACAATATGTCAACAGAGAACTGCCAGATGTGCAGGCTGGATTTAGAAGAGGTCGTGGTACTAGGGATAGTATAACTAATGTTAGATGAACCTTGGCAGAGAGCAGAGAATGCAAGAATTATGTTTATTTGTGCTTCATTGACTATGTAAAGGATTTTGACTGTGTGGATCACAGCTATGGCTATATATGAGTAGAATGGGAATCTCAGAATATTTGATTGTGCTAATGTGAAACCTATACTTGGTCCAAGAGGCAGTCATCAGAACAGAGCAGGGAGACACTGGACGGTTCTAAATCAAGAAAGGGGTCCACCAGGAATGTGTTTTGTCTCCATACCTTTTCAATCAGCATGCAGAATAGATCATCTGAGACGCTGGGCTGTATGAGGAGGAATGTGGCATCAGGACTGGTGGAAGAATCATCAAATCATCAACAACCTGCATTATGCAGATGACACAACCCTGCTCGCTGAAACTGAGGAGGACCTGAAGCGCTTGCTGCAGAAGGTCAAGGACTGCAGTCTTCAATATGGATTGAAGCTCAACATCGTGAAAACAAAGATTCCCACCAATGGGCTAATTGGCAGCATCAGTATGGATGGTGAAGAGGTTGAGATGGTTAACAGTTTCAGTTTACTTGGTTCCACTCTTGGTACCAGCAGCCAGGAAATCAGAGGACAAATTGCATTGGGAAAGTCAGCTGTGAGGGACCTCTCAAGAGTACTGAAGTGCAAAGACGACAGGTTGGAAACTAAGGTGTGCCTGATCCAGGCTATAGTCTTTGCAATTACGTGCTATGCAACAGAGAGTTGGACAGTGAATAGGGATGATAGAAAGAGAATTGATGCCTTTGAGTTGTGGTCCTGGAGAAGAGTATTTAATATACCATGGACTGCTAGGAGAACAAACAGGTTTGTCCTGGAGAGGGTGAAGCCAGAATGCTCCCTGGAGTCAAGGATTCTGAAGCTTTGTCTGACATACTTTGGGTATGTTGCAAGGAGGGACTGGTCCTTGGAGAGGGACATTATGTTTGGGAGACTGGAGGGACAGCGCAGGAGAGGAAGACCCTTGATGTGATGGATCGATTCTGTGAGTGGAGTGGTGGGAATGAATGTATTTCAGACAGTGAGGTTGGCACAGGATAGAGCGGCGTTTAGGGCTCTTGTACTTAGGGTCACTATGAGTCACAAACGAGTCGATGGCACATAACAACAACAACAACAACCATATCAACATATAAATATTTACATTCTATAAACAAAATGGATTGGTATTTAAAAATGGTTATAAAATAATAGTCAAATTAAAGAATATATCAGGAAGACATGCAACCACAAGTGTATATACGAATCAAGCAATTACATAAATATGCCACTATGATTTTGATAGTCTTTAAAGTATGTGTCTCTGAATATGATGATAATAAACATGAAAATACTTTAAATACAAATATCTTACAACAAAATATTTAAATTTTCTTAATATTAGTTTACACTCGGTTTTCAAATTGAAGAAATTTCAGTGTGAAAATATTATAAGAAAGTTGTCATTAAAGGAGTTACTCACATCTGATTTCACAAGAATCTTGTAGAATTGATCCTCAAATTCTTTCAAAGAGTAATTTTTTCCCAAGGGATAAAAATCTATTTTCTTATCTCTTATTTGATAAATTATATGCTCATATGTACTTGAAGATTGCATTGGTTCAATTCCATAGCTGACATTCTCCAGCTGTAGTAATCCTCTAAAATTGAAATTTTAAAAGGAAAAAAATGAAGTCAGTCTGAGTCCCACTAACAAATGTAAATAATGTTAAATATAGACTTTCTTATAAATTTGATAGTGACTGAAGTTTAACTTCTAAATAAAAAAAGGAATAGGTTCACTTTTAAACCCGTACTTTATACTTTCAGTCCTATGCCTTATACTAGTAGCTGTGGTTCCAGTACAAAGAATCACATTTCTTAACCACACTAGCAGCACAACTACAACCTAATGACATAAAAAAAAAACCCTACAACATTTTAATTTCAAAGTGAATTCACAGATTTATTCTTTTCATTTTCACCATATATATCACCATCAAATTTATGCAAATATTTCTGTATCCAAAATCACTGAGACCGGATGAACTTCCAAAACTACTACTCTTAGATAACTTAAACCTCTCTAAAGTTTTCCTTCAGTTGTTGTTGTTGTGTTGCTTGCCTTTGAATCAAACATGACTCATAACGACCATATGAACAAAAGACCTGTAGTCCTCTACAACTATCAACATTTGTCAAATTTCACAAAGTTTCCAAAGGCATGTTATTTAGGAAGTAGATGCCACTCCTGCTTCCAAAGCTGTCATAGTATGTTATTTTTGTTACGTGCCATTGAGTCGCTTGTGATGTATAGCAATCCTATGTACAGCTCCTTGTCCTGAGCCAGTCTCACTAACTCCAACACACCAACCTCCGTTACCCAGTTACTGTATCAATCCATCTCATTCGGGTCTCCCTCTCCAGCACTGTCCATCCACCTTTCCAGGAACGATGTCCTTTTCCAAGGACCAATCTCTCCTGGTCATGTGCCCAAAGTGAGGCAGAGCTTCAAAATCCTGACCTCCAGGGAGAGACTTGATTTCACCCTCTCCAAGACAGACCTATTTGTTTTCTTGGCAGAAAGTCTTCCTTCAGTTAGTGAAGTATATCTATCTTGAAAACTGTGATCTTTATAAAATTATCTGCATGATGTCAAATTGCAAGAGCAACTCAAACGGGTAGAAAAAATGTTTGTGCACTGAGCTTAAATTAAAAATGGTGAAATGACATGGAAAATGACAGCTTAAAGAATGTAATTAGTCCCACTGAACCGGATACTTAAAAATGGCTGGAAAAAATTGCTGAAATTGTATGTCTTTTGCTTTCTCTATTTTAACCATATAGAAATATGATGTAGCAAAAAAAAAAAAGAAAATATGAACTTTTCCTGGTAAATGTATAATTACAACCTTGAAACAGAAACAAAAAAAAAAAGAACTTTTAGGAGAAAAAAAAAGGAAATAAATCAGAATACAACAAAAGTTTTATTACTTTGTCTTCAAGAAATTACTCAAAATTGAGAGTTATACAGCATCTTGAATAGTATACACTACTAGAATATAAATTACCTGAGACCAGTATAACAAGTGTTTAGTGTCACAATTGATTTTGGTATTTCTTCAGTATATCCTTGATAAAAACAATGATCCTGGGGAAAAAGATTATATGAGCATATATTCATAAATGCCTTATAAATACTGTCCTCAGTTTTATTTTTATACTACATATACCCACAGACACTCTGATTTGTTCATCATCTTAACATAATTCATGATACTCCTTTTCTGTACATTCAATTTAGTCTTTTACTCTTCTTCTGCCTATAAATTTTCATGTCTTCCATCTCTCTCCAAATATTTTTGTTATTGTTTTTCACTTCTTCCAACATTATCATCTTTTCTTTCTCAGCCTTTTAATGAGTTCATAGAATTGATGAATTAATGCAAGCATCAGCATGCACTTCATGTCAACCATGAATAGTTAACTTACTTTTTCTAAGTCTAAATATCTTAATTGACATTTCCTCATGTGATTTCACTTAAATATCTAACCATATTAATAATTTTTTATTCAAACTCTCTTGCTTATTGATTTTTCAGAGCACCAATCTTCCTGCTTTTTCTCCTAATACATCCTTTGAACGGATTTTCTAATATATTATTTAATTCTAGTAATCTTTTATGATCAATGTTTATTCCTTGGCTAATTTTATGCTACAAAAACATTAGACCAGCACTGGATATCCCATAGAGGTTATACTCTGTCTGAGGTAGGACATGCATTAGAATCAAATCAACAATAGTGGATTTATGTTGTTGTTGTTGTTATGTGTCATCATGTCAGTCATCTGTGACCCATAGTGACCCAATGTCCTTTTCCAAAGACTGGTCTTTCCTAGCCACATGCCAAAAGTATGTGAGACAAAGCTACAAAATCCTACCCTCCAAGGGGAAACTTGTTTACCTTCTCTAAGACTGACTTATTTGTTTTCTTGGCAGTCCATGGTATGTTCAAGGCTCTTCTCCAGCACCAGAACTCAAAGGCATAAACCAGTTCTTCTTCTGTCATCCTTAGTCATTGTCCAGCTTTCTGATGCATAACAAGTAATTGTGAAGACTATGGACTGGATTGTTGCTGTTGTTATGTGCCATCAGTCATAGCAACCCTATGTATAAGAGCCCTAAACACCGTTCTATACTGTGCCAACCTTGCCATCTCAAACACACTCATTTCCTTCACCTCAATCACAGAATCGATCCATCTCATCAAGGGTCTTCCTCTCCTGTGCCATCCCTCCACTCTCCCAAACATGATGTCCCTCTCCAAGGACCGGTCTCTCCTTGCAACATGCCCAAAGTATGCCAGATGAAGCCCCAGAATCCTTGACTTCAAGGAACATTCCAGCTTCACCCTCTCCAGGACAAGCCTGTTTGTTCTAGCAATCCATGGTATAGTCAACACTCTTCTCCAGGACCACAACTCAAAGGCATCAATTCTCTTTCTACCATCCCTAGTCACTGTTCAACTCTCTGATGCATAGCACGTAATTGTGAAGGCTATAACTCAAATTCATACAGAGTACCAAAAAAAAAAAGAAAATAATACTAACAATGATCAAAGACAATGAATCAGTTCTGGTACCAAAATTAGTAACATATAGGGATTACATGATAAAATTTATAAAACAGCTATATAATAAATTTGAAACAATTATATTTTTAATACAAGTGATAAACATAAAAATACCAACAAAGAAATATATCATAAAGAACCAAATTAAAATTCTGAAACAAATATTTGAAAACAAACACATCAGTATATTCCATAGTTGATTGGATATACTGGTTAGAAACAGCAAACTTGAGGACAGATTGCATTTAATCAATCTGAAAAATGAAGAAAAAATGAGACTTTAAAATATTCAAATATATAGAGAGTTGGGAATTTGTGTGACAAAAGTTTTATGAAAACATACATATCATAGAAAAAGGAAAGTTTTGTGGTGGTGTTGTATACTGTAGAGTCAGAACCAATCCATAGCTAACCCTCCAGCAGGTCTTCAGAGGCAGTTAATCACATAGGAGATTTCCTATCCTTCTCCCACAAAGCAATTGGTGGCCTTGCACTGCGTGCCTTCATGATTGCAGCATAGCTTCTTGCTACTAGGGCCACCAGAGCTCCCTAGATTGATAGCTTGTTGAAAAAGTGTTCAAGGAAAAATAAATTATTAAATAAATTCACTTTAATGAATTGAAATTTCATTACATGAAGTTCATTAATGAATTGAAAATATAAACATTCAAATTCCAGAAGCTGAACTAACCCCAAGATAATGGACCAAAAGTAATCTACAATAAAAAAATCGTAATTAAAGTAAAGGTGATTGGAACATTAAAAATAGAAAAAAATTTTGCATAAACCTATCCGTCACTTACATCAAGTTAATTCTGACTCATAGAAACTCTCCACTGTCTTTTCAAGGCTATTAATGAGCAGAGAGTATTTCTATTTCTCCATGGAAGCACTCATGAACTTACTAAAGGAAGCAAATGCATAAACATCAAAATTTATTAATGATTATCAGAGGTTAGTGGGAAGGAAAAATGAGAAATAATTATTTAGGAATAATTTAATTTCTAAGGTATGCCTGATCCAGGCCATAGTCTTTGCAGTTATTTGCTATGCATCAGAGAGCTGTACCAAGAATGACCAAGGATGACAGCAGATGCCTTCGAGTTGTGTTTCTGGAAAAGAGTATTGAATACACCACGGACTTCCAAAAGAATTAACGGGACTGTTCTGGAGAGGGGAAACCAAGATGTTCCTTGGAGTCAAGGATTTCGAGACTCTGTCTCACATACTTTGGGCATGTAGCCAGGAGATATCAGTCTTTGGAGAAGGATATTGTGCTTGGAAGGATGGAGGGATAGCACAGGAGAAGAAGATCCCAGATTAGAAGGATTGACACAATAACTGGAATAATGAAGGTAGGTGTGTCAGAGACACTGAAATTGGCTCAGAATAGAGCAGTATTCAGAGCTATTGTGCATAGGGTCTCTATGACTCATTATCAACTAAATGGCATATAACAACAACCTAGTGAAAGAGATTTGGTAATTGATATCAGTGATGGCTATGCAAATTGATTAGGGTATTCTATGTCTCTAAATTGTACAAATGAAAAAAGTTCAGTTGGAACATTTTGTATTATATATACTGATATACCCACACACATACCTAAAAAAAAAAAAAAAAGGAAAACTTATTTCAATGGTTACTCTCCAATGCTAACTTTCAGGCTTGGAATGAAACTAATGGTACTCTCAAAAATAATCTATTAAACGGTTTCTCTATTATTCCCAAAGTGAAAATCCACAATCTCTCAATATTTTTTATTTCTATTATCTCTATTTTACTCTCCAGGCATCTGTAGAGAGACTTTCTTGGGTTTTGTGCATCAATTAATCGACCAGTTCCCTTGAAAAATAGACATCTGAAAACTCATACTTGCAAGACATGCCATGCACATGTTCCAGCTCATTCAGCAGCATTGAACACAAAATCTTTATATTTCTGTTTAGTTCTACCTCTTCATATTGCGATCAAGATATTATTCACAGCAAGAAATGAAATATACCTTGACTGATTGACAGAATTTCTAATATGTCTGCTGTCAAACCTCTGAAAATAGGTGCTCGAGCCTGTTTTTGGACATTATACTTCAATGAGGGTGAGTGACCCACTTATTCTATTCTTAACTTCATTAATCCATCAATTAATATAGCAATAGAATCTGACCAATCACCTTGCATTTCTTCTCAGTCATCCATTCTGAGAACATAAAATATTTTGCAGATTAATCCTTGGTTATGTACTTTGAAAATAAAATCTGGAGTCCCAATTGCTTACTGGCTACAATTCAAATTCTAATGTTTTTGCATGTGAATCTGGACCCAGTCTCCTTTTGCATCTTCACTTTTATAGTGGTGTCCTTCTGTTCTTCTATTAAGTAATTCTACCATTTTTTCTGCACTGGCCAAATCCTGTGTTATACCAACTAAAATGTGTTAGTATGTTTTAACTCCTATCTTACACTCTTTCCTTCATGAAATAAGTGTTAATATTTTAAGACACAATTTAAATATTTTGTAGATAAGTGATTCCTTTTGTTTTCTTCAATATGTTCCCAAGGAGCAGCTACAGTATACTAGAGCTTGCAATAACCTATTTTCTACTAAGCCTGTATTGTACAAAGCATTTTTTATCTTTCTTTGTAACAGCACTTTAACCACATCAAATCTACAGATATGTAAAATAGAAATAGAAACTTACTTTTACAAATGGAGACTCTAATAGCCGAATTCCTAATTTACTGTATGAGTACACCAAGAAATGAGGTGGCAAAAATGACCTATTCAACCAAAATAAAAATACACCATTGTATAGTACTTTCATAATAATGAGATTTCTATCATATATTGTATTTTTTAATCATGAAAAACATCATATCAGTCTAGTATGAACATAATTATACTACGTTAAAAATCTTCAGGTTTTTATGTTAAAATATTCAAAATTTTAAAATAATGGTATAAAAAACCAATGAGAAAATAATAGACATAGGTGAGAATCATACAGAAAAATCCAAATAATCAATGTGTAGAGAAGAAAACCAGAAGTTAAAATGGGATATATTTTACCATATCATGATTATGGTTACAGAAATAGAAGAAAAAGGAAATAAACAGCTATAAGGGACTGAGTCCTCTGGCAATCAGATTATTCGTTCACAAGATTTCACTTGAACAGAAGCAAAACATTGGCAGACAGGTTGATGACAGTGCTCTGTTGTGTTTGGGAGATATTAAGAAATGATAACTCTGATGTAGAAAGTTTTTAAAAAACCTCTACACACCTAAGAGTTTCGTGAATATGTGCGTGTGTGTGTGTGTGTGTGTGTGTGTGTGTGTGTTTCTCATGTATTTTTCTTTTTGGGCAGAAAGTTTAAAAAAGCGGGAAACTGGGAAAGTTTATACCTAATGCTGTTGTGTTGTTGTTGTTGTGTGCCACTGAGGAAGAACCGACTCATAGCCTGATACATCTTAAAAAATTCCAATGCCATACAAAAACAACAACAAATCACTAGGGGTCATCCAAATGAGCATGACAAAGGGTGTGAAAATGCACAGAGATGACCAAATAATGAAAAAATGGAGGCAATGCTAAACATCATTAATTAGTTAAGGTAAAATATAAAGACCTCCAGTAAACAGAGATAATAAAAAGGAAAAGAAATAATGGCCTCAAAAGGAGAATATAGCAACTGAAAATGGCAAGAAATGGAATGCGAAATGTACTAGAACTTAATTATGCAGAAAAAAGAATTAGTGAATTAGTATATGTAATAGAACTATGTATTAGTATATGTAATAGGACTTAATTATGCAGAAAAAAATCTGTGAATTAGTAGATAAGACAATTAAACTTAGAGGCTGACAACAAGAAAGAACGCTCGAGACAACTGACCACAACTTAACCGAATTATGGCTCAAAAATAAGATGCACAGTTTGAGATTTCCAGAAGATGATTAGAGAAAGAATATTTAAAGAAACAATGACTGAAAATGTCCTCAATATAATAAAAGATATAAATCTACAAATTCAAAAAGCTCAAAGAATCCCTAGCAAGATAACATGAAACACACCTACACCAAAGCACATCTTGTTGTTGTTGTTGTTGTTGTTATGTGCCATTAAATCTCCTATTATGTGCCATTAATGTACTATAGCTCTGAACTTGCCTTACTCTGAGCCACCTGTCTCCAGCACATCTAACCCAATTACCCCAGTTAATGTGTTCTCTTCATTTGTGTTTCCCAATTTGAGGGCTCAGCATCAGGTGCTACATCTGCTCATTTACTCCAAGCATTTTGCTCTATGGATGTTGTTGTTGTTATGTGCCGTCGAGTTGTTTGCCACTCATAGTGACCCTATGTTCAAAACCTCTGAATGCTGTTCTATCCTGTGCCAACCTTATTATCTCTAACACTGAATCAGTCCATCTCATTGACAGTCTTTCTCTCTTGCACTGTCCCTCCACTCTCCCAAGCATGACATCCCTCTCCAAGGACTGGTCACTTCTTGCAACATGCCAAAGTATGTCAGACAAAGCTTCAGAATCCTTGCCTCCAAAGTGCAGTCTGGTTTCACCCTCTCCAGGTTGAACTTGTTCATACCAGCCCAAGTTATATTCAATACTCTTCTCCAGCACCACAGTTCAAAGGCATCAATTCTCCCTCTATCCTCTCTATTCATTGTCTAGCTCTCTGATGCACAGCAAGTAATCGCAAAGACCGTGGCCTGTATCACGTGTACCTTAGTCTCCAGATTGACATCATTGTTCTTCAGTTACAGACATACAAAGCACAAATACAATGTCAGAAATAAGTCACTTCATAGCAGTCATTACTGTTAATGTAAATGGTGTTCAAACAAAAGCCAGAGATTAACAGATATTTTTTAAAAATAAACCAAAACATGATTCAATTTTTTGTTGGTGTTGTGTATCATAGAGCTGGAATTGATCTATATTGCTGACCGGCTGGCAGATTTTCAGAGGCTGTTAATTGCACAGGAGATTCTCCATATTCCTCCTGTGGAGCAACTCGTGGCCTCAAATCACATGATTGCAGCACAGCTTCTTCTTGCCACTAAGCCATCAGAGCTACATACTGTTTATAAGAGATACCATCTAGAAGTCCAGGATCAAGTACGCAAATAGGTTTAAAGTGGAAAGTATTTCTTATAAACAAGAAACACACACATGAAAAAAGAGCAAACTAAAATCTAAGGCAAAATTTTCCTAGAACAAATAAAGATGGGCACTCTATCATGATTAAATGGTCAGTTAATATAGCAGATTTCACAGTTATAAATATAGAGGCAACCTAATAACTACCTGACTTGGAGCTGGCACTGCAACTCCTTACCCACTAGGCCAGCAGGCACTCACTGTAGATAAAAGATGGGCGCTCTCTGCACAATTTACAGCCTCTAAAAACTCACTTGAGGATCACCTACAAGTTGATTTTGACCCAATGCCTCATAACATCAACAATATCAGATTTCTTAAATACATACATATAAAAAGCATTGATAGACTTGGAGAGCGAATAAGGTTCATTACAATAATAGATGGTGATTTCAACACATTACTTTCAATATTAGAACATCTAAAAAGAAACAAAAAAGTAGAGGACTTGAATGATACTATAAACAAACAAAATAGACATACATAGACTACTCCATCCAAAACAGCACAATTATATATTTTGCTCCAATCTACAACATACATAATTCTCCAATATTGACTACAAATTAGTTAAGCTAGTCTTCATGAGGCATGTGAGGGGTACAGATGTGGATAGTGGAAATAAATTGATAAATAATAAACACTTTCTTGGAATAGGTGAAGAAAAGGTCAATATGAAATGAATGGATGATCAGACATTGTGTGTATTGCAACTGACAATGTGGAACAGGAATGAATATGCATAACTGATTGGGGAGGGGACAGGAAGCAAAGGAAAAGTTTACATACTGATGGAAACAATCCTGGAGGTTTGATCCAGATAGGAGGGGAGTAGAGTGTACGTGATGGATGGGCAGGGTGAAGGGAACAGTAGGGTATGGTAAAGATTTGATAAGATGTAATAAATAGCATTGATCAATTGTCACTAATGTTATAAAATAAAATATATGTGAATGATTAAGTGAAAGCCAATAATGAATAAAAAGACTGAAATAATATGAAGTGTTATGTCAGAGTACAACAGAGTAAAGCTATAAATCAGTAACTAGAAGGAGGAGTGGAAGAAAGGACAGGAACACAAAATGGAAATTATACTACTGATGAGTCAAGAAAACTCAAAAGTGAAATCACATGTATTTAATAGATAAATATAAAAATTTACAGAATACAGTAAGGCAGTACTGAGAGAGAAGCATAGTAATATCTCTCAAAACTTTAAATGATATAAAATGCCACTAAAAAAGGTCTACTTTGAAAATTGTTGTTGAAAATCAGGTAATATAGTTATATTTGTTTAGAAAATTATTTGTACTCAATAGTACTAGTTACTATATTTCCTTTTACTTGTCATTGTTATGTGCCATCAAGTCAACTGAGACTCATAGCGACCCTACAACCCTATGTACAACAGCTCTTTACCCGGCTGAATCCTTTGCCAATATTACTGTCTCTGATACGCATGTCCCCATTACCCTAGGCAATGAGTCAATCCATCTCACTGAGGGTCTTCCTGTCTTGTGCTGTCCCTCCACCCTTCCATACATAACGTCCCTGTCCAAGAACTGGTTCCTCCTTGCAACATGTTCAAAGTATGTCAGATGAAGCTTCAGAATCCTCGCCTCCAAGGAGCAACCTGGTCACACCCACTATAGGACGAATATGTTTGTTTTCCTTGTAGTGCATGGTATATTCAATACTCTTCTCCAGCACCACGGCTCAAAGGCATCGATTCTCCTTCTATCATCCCTAGTCTTGTAATTAGGATTATAATTATTATTGGTACTCATTGTCCATTAGGGAGATCTGGTGGCCTAGTGGTAAGAAGCAACAATGCAATCCCAAAGAAACATAGATTAAATCCATAAGCTCCTCAGGAGGAAGATGGGTAATCTCTTCCCATGCAATTAACTGTCTCTGAAAATCCACTGGAGGGTCATCTGTGGGTCAGTTCAGACTCAACGGTACATACACAACAACAACAACATACTCCTTTATCCAGAAACCAACTTCTTTCTTAATAATATTTTTTATTTTAATTGTGATTTTAATAAAAGTTTCAGAAAAGTTGGATTTTCATTCACTCATTCATTCATTATTGCACATTCTCCTCCTTCCTCTACCCTTCCCTCTCTCCCAATTCACTTTAAAAAAAATATTCATTCATTGTTGTGTAATTTCCTCCCTCACCTCCTCCCACTCCCCAAGTCCTCTTTGCAATGTACCTCTTATTCTGGACAGTTGTCTTACAAATAAAGCCTAATCATATATTCCTTTTAAACAGTTCTTTGCTTCATCTATTCCAATAACAGTATTCATTATCTATCCACTCTTTTTCTATTCTCTTCCCAAACCTCCATGCCAGTCCTGCTTTATAACAGTGGTGTTATACAGTATTTGTTCTTTTGAGACTGACATATTTGACTTAGCATAATCTTCTCTGGGGTAACTCATGTTGTGTAATGTTTTATGAGTTCACTATTTTTTAGTGCTGCATAGTATTCCATTGTGTGAATGTAACATAGTTTTTCTATCCATTCATTTGTTGATGGGCACATGGATTCTTTCCATCTCTTTGCTATTGTGAATAATGCAGCAATAAA